GAGGAGAGCATGAGGTAGGACTGCATGCGTGATGCGCTCACACTCTCGACACACTCCTGTTGGTCACACCATCACCCGTGACCACAGAGTGTGATTGATGACTGGTAGGGAGAAGATGCCAGTGCCAGTGTGTTTGCCAATTTCTCTGTCCCGTTTGCTTGCATTTTTGTTACCGCAGCATTATTTATTGCTATATATTGTCATGACATCTCAGCTCTACTTATGATCGCCAAGCTCTTCAAAATATTTAAGCTTTGATGGTGACATGGTCCAGGCACGGGAATGGAGACAATACTTTTAACTTTCCTCCTTTCCTAATGGATATACCTGAGCACCTGAGACGCCGACAATGTGATGTACACTGCAGGAGACATTCTAGACAGTGGGGGTAATAGGGAGGTGTGTTGGTGAAACTGAAGACTCACCTGGTGGCTGTTAGGGTGTCTGCCCTTAGCCTGTGTGGTGAAGCCGGCCATTACCCTGATGCTGAACATCCCTTGGGCTACAAGTGTTGAGCGTGTTACTTCCCGGCCTGCGAGATGCACCCTATTCACCGGCGCAGCCTCATCTACTGTGGTGAAGTCGGAGAAGCAGGTGTGCCATGGACTTCAGGAACCTTTACCCTGTGTGCTGTTCCTCAGCCTTGGACAAGGAGGAGTTCACACTTCAGATGGCTCTGTTCAATGATAGATCATTTGCCAACAAGACTTTCCTGCTTAATGACTTTTTATGTCTTGAGAGCTGGTGAGTTCACCCCTTTCTCAGAACTGCTTCCTCCAAATTGATCGTTTTTTTAGTTCACCTCGTCTTGCTGGCAGAGGTGAAAGATTGGCGTCTGTAAAAGCAGCTTCAAATGTCGGCAGATTCAGGGAGGACCTTACTCCAGCTTTGAGCTACAGCTGTTGGAAATAAGCTTCTCCACTCCCATGTCCTGTGCAGTCGTCCATTGTCCGCCTAAGTACAATAAATACTTTATATGTGGTTTTGCTGACTTCTTGGCGGGACTTAGGCTAAAGTAGGATTGTTTTCTAATTTGCTGTAATTTTAATATCCATGACTGCTGTAATTCTGTGCCGCTGGTCAAAGAGTTTGTGAACCGTATTGATTTTTTAAAATCTTATTCAGTCAGTGAATGGTACAACAAAGGGTCATACATTAGACCTTGTATTGACTTATGGACTTTGTGTATCCATTAGTGAAATTTGTGGTGCACATATATCAGACTATCTACTTGCTTTATTTGCTGATAATTGTCATAATTCTCATGTTCTTTTAATGTTTTTATTCCATTGTAAATCTCCGTGATCATGTAGTTAGTGAGGCATTGCCTAAACGCTGTGAAAGTTTTCTTCACTATTCACTTCTTTTAACTATTGACTCAGGGAACTCTGCAATTTTGTTATTGTTGGATTTCACTGCTGATTCTGATACTGATGACTGCAGGATTCTTTTATCATATCTAGAACGAAGTGTGGGTATCAAGGGCATAGCACTTAAATGGTCTAGGTCCTTCCTGACTGGTATGAGTTTCTCGGTTCAGCTAGGTGAGCACTCGTCTTCTATAGCACCACTTACTTGTGGAGTTCCTCAAGGCTCAATTTTGGGCCCTGCACTCTTTTCTTTGTACATGCTGCCCCTGGGGTCCATTTTTAAGAAAAATAATATGTCATTACTTTATTTGCCTTTATAAACAGAATGCCAGAGCATTATTACATTGTTTGAAAGAAGTAAAAAAAAGTGGCTCAGTTTAAACTTCCTTAGTCTCAATTACAATAAAACAGAGGTTGTTGTGCTTGGTCAGTCTAAGGCTCAGGATAAACTGTGCAGCTCTTTTAGCAACTCAATGTCACTCCAGTAGATTAAGCCAGCTGCTAAAAACCTTGGGATCATTTTTGATAGTTTATCTCTCTTGGTACAATAGCAGCAACTTTCATTTCCGCCAAAATGGGAATTCCAAATCTATGATGGTGATCCATTGCAATATCATGCTTTCCATAAATGCTTTCGAACATGGTGTCAAAAATAAGACTAATAATTAGAGTTATATTGTCAAATATAAATATAGATTGTCTATATTTTCTTTAATAGCATACA